GAGCCCCGGGGTCAGAGGAGGGAAAGGTGCCCATACCTCTGCCCTCCCATCGCTTTCCCCTTTTTTGACCTCCTGGGCGGCCCTCGGCGCCACCGCCAGATTCGCCTCGAAATCCTGGTCAGAACGCGCCCCTGGAGAGGTCCGGGGAGTCGCGGTATCGGTGCCTTCTGGTTTCCCCACGGGGAGGCGGCAGGGTCCACTCTGATCCGATCGATCCGCTTCGATCTCGGTGCCAGCCATGGCGATCCGAGGGCCGGCAGCGTCCCCAGAGATCCAGCGTCTCGAAAAAGTCGAGACTTGGGTCTTTCATCGTTTTCGGTCTCTCGGGGCCTTCGCCGGGCCTCGGGACCGTCAAGAAGTGTCTCGGGATGAAAAACCGGTCCCGGGCAAATGGTCGAGAGGCGGGGGGCCTGGTCTCGAGAAAATCAAGACGCCCGATGTCTAGGTCGATGGGGCAGGCTCGGGGGCAGGCAGCCGCTCGCGAGCCGCCCGGAGCCCCTGGGGAGGCGGCAGGGGACGGCGCCCTGCCCCAGCTCCGCTCCCCCGGAGGTCCTGGCGTCATGACTTTCTGTTCGAGCAGGGCGTTTTCGCCCAGATTCGGAGCCCGGGACCCTCACAGATCGACGCGGCTCGAAACATTGCCCAGAAAGACGGGGTCTAAGGCTACGGTCATGATTTTCCACGATGTCGCAATCTTTGCGAGACTTCGGACCTCGGGGCCCGCCACCTGCCTCGAATCGACCCTGCCTTGGAGTGCATTCTGGCGTTCCAGCCTCGGGATGCTTTCCAGCAGCTGCGCCTCGCCGAGAGTGTTCTTCGGCCACGCGCAGAGCGGGATCTGGGGGAGGGGGGAGGGCTTCTTAGGAGCACCCATGCTTCTTAGAAGGCGCGGGCCTGGTCCACAGATGCAGAGCTGGCGCGTTCTAAGAAGCAGGGGTGCTTCTAAGAAGCCTCCCCCCCTCCCCCTAACCCCCCCTCTGCGCGCCGCCAAGTTCTGTGGGTGCCCGGATCGCCCCGAACGGCCGCCAGAGACCCGAGCTGCGACCCGAAAGCCAAGGGGCATTGGGAGGGGGTATGCTCGGGGGCGGGCCGCTGCTCGCGTGCCGCCCGGAGCCCCGGGGAGGTGGCAGGGTTCACTTCGATCCCATCGATCCGCTCCGCTCTCGGTTTCGGCCACGTCGATCCCACTCGATTCCGATGATCCTACTCCGACGGCCCGATGCGGCCCGATGCCTGCCTGGCGCGCCGCGGTGCGCTCTGGCGCGGCCGATATCCGCTTCTGCTTCGGCAGCCGTGCCGAGGTGCCGCCCGACCTCCGAAGCCTTCCCTTCCGGTGCGCTCCGACTTCTCGAGCCGGTGCCGGCTGGCCCTGGGTGGAGTGCACGGCGCCCTGCCCCGCCTCCGATGCCGCCCCCTGCCGCGATCGGGGGGCGCCGCGAGGGGCGGGGAGGGGCTCGGGGGGCCATGCCTCGGCCCCCAGCCGATGAGGGCCTTCTGGCCCAACCCGCCCGGGAAGGTGCGGATGCGGCATCGGGGGCCTGTCGCCAATCGGCGAGGTGTCGCCGATGCCAGGTCGATGGTCCCCGCCGCGCCCCGCCCCCCCCCGGGCTGGTTCCCCCCTCACGTCCCCCCTCACGTCCGAGGCGGGGATTTACCCATAGCCACCGCCTGGGGGATCGATCTTCGAGGACTTTGGCAGGCGGTGAACCGTATGACCACCCTTCGGGTGATCAGAAGGTCCAGGGGGGAGGAATCAACGTCTCACTATAGATCTCATCGATCTCACTATCGATCTCCCCCCTGAGCCAGTTTCCCCTATCGTGGACCCTCATCTCCACTTCTACCCCTCATTTCCCGCTCCAGTCTGGACCTTTTCACCTGGTCACTGGCCGTTCAACCCGAGCCGTTCGTCTTGACGGTTCCCAGGGCGGAGGGAGGCAGATCAATCGGCGATGCATCGCCGATTCCAGGTCGATGACACCCTGAGCCAGTTTCTTGCCACTCTTGCGTGTAGTCGAGAGGGGAGCAGCACACGGCCGGGACGCTGACGTGCGAGGGAGGAGGGTCCCTCCTCCCTCCTCCGTTCGTTGTGCTTCTGATAACTCATCCCTGTCGTGCCCCGAGGCGGGTCGGAAGGGCGGTCCTGGCGTTTCGCTTGAGATCAAGGGAGGAAAACCACCCAGACCCGACAATTGGCGTTTACTAAACGGCCCTGGGCGTTTACTAAACAGCCCTGCCCTGTTTGATTCCTTTTTTGGGTGCGTTTACTCAACGGCTTCGCGTGTCGGGGTGATTATTATGGGGGTGGATTTCCTGCCCTTGAGGAGACGTCCTCGTGGACCCTCATCTCGACCCTCCGCCTCCGCCCCTCGTCTCCCGCTCCAGTCCGCACCCTCGCAACCGGTCGCCGGCCGCTCCACCCGAGCCGTTCGTCTGGGCGGCCCCCTTGGGCTCGCCGAGGGAGACTCTCTCCTGGGCAGGTCGCACGTGGCGCCGAGAATCCTCCGCGTTGTTGTTGTTGTTGTTGTTGTTGTTGTTGTTGTTGTTGTTGTTGTTGTTGTTGTTGTTGTTGTTGTTGTTGTTGTTGTTGTTGTTGTTGTTGTGGTTGTGGTTGTGGTTGTGGTTGTGGTTGTGGTTGTGGTTGTGGTTGTGGTTGTTGTTGTTGTTGCTGTTGTTGCTGCTGCTTGTTGTTGTTGTTGTTGTTGTTGAACTCTCATTTCTGAAGAATAATTATTGTTGATCCCCCCTGTCCGGTGCCCATTGGTTTTTTCAATTGAAGTGCTTCCTCCGGGGCTCGCACCCTGTTTTTTGACAGGGAAAGCCTTGCGGATCAGATTGCGTTGTTGGGCCCCGGACTACAACAACAACGGCTCCCGCCTGAGACTTCCTCACAATTTTCTCAGGACCCCCGCTCCCGCCTGAGACTTCCTCAAAATTTACTCCGGAAGGGCGCTCCCGCTTCAGACTTTCTCACATTTTCCTCAGAAGCGGCGCTCCCGCTTGAGACTTCCTTAATCAGGACCCCTGCTCCCGCCCGAGATTTCTTCATTCTCTTGCACAGGGTGTCTAGAGCTCCGACCACTTTATTTCGGCGTCGTCGTCGCTCCCCCCCCAGCTGCCTTGTGCCCTTCATGTGTCGCTATATGTGTCGCTGTGTGCCTTGTGCCCTTCATGCGCCGCTATATGTGTCGCTGTGTGTCGCTATGCGTCTCCATGTGTGCGTCGCTATGTGTCGCTGTGTGTCGCTATGCGTCGATATGTGTGTGTCGACACACATATATCTCTATATGTCGAAATGTGTCGACATGTGTCGCTATGTGTCGCTCCCCAGCACCCCAGCGCACCGCCCCCTCCGCCACGACGACTTTATTTCGGCGTCGTCGTCGCCCCCCCCCCCTCTCCCTCTCCTCAGCAGCCCAGCGCGCTGCCCCCTCCGCCCCGACCACTTTATTTCGGCGTTGTGTCGACATGTGTCGCTATGTGTCGCTCCCCAGCACCCAGCGCACCGCCCCCTCCGCCCCGACGACTTTATTTCGGCGTCGTCGTCGCCCCCCCCCCCCTCTCCCTCTCCTCAGCAGCCCAGCGCGCTGCCCCCTCCGCCCCGACCACCCGCCCCGTGCCCCCTCCGCCCCGACAATTTTATTCCGCGTCGCGACGCACGCCACCTCCCCCCCTTCCCCCCCTTTCCCCAGCGCCCCAGTTGGACCCCCGCCCCGTGGCCCTCTGCCCCAAGCCCCGCCCAGTGCCCCCTCCGCCCCGACAGTTTATTCCGCGTCGCGGCACACACCACCACCCCTCCTCTCCGCGCCCCCAGCGCCCCAGTGGGACCTCCGCCCCGTGCTCCCTCCGCTCCGAGCACTTTATTCCGCGTCGCGACGCACGCCGCCTCCCCCACCCTCCCCACCTGGGACTTGGGCCCCGTTGCTGGGCCCAGAGGGCGATGCCTTGCCCCCTCTTCCCCCCTCCTCCTCCTCCACCTCCTCCTCCTCCTCCTCCTCCTCCTCCTCCTCCTCCTTCTCCCCCTTCCTTTTTGTGCAAGGGCTATGGCACACGTGCCACTTGGAATTTACTCAGGAATGGCGCTCTCGCTTAGGACTTCCTCGCAATTTATTGCAGCATCGTGTTCTCGACGCTCAGGAACCACGCTCGCGCCAAGGACGCCCTTGCAATTTACTTAGGAATCGCGCTCTCGCTTAATACTTCCTTGCAATTTGCGCAACAATCCCGTTTGAATGTCCCGCCCGCCCGACCCGCCCGTCAGGGTCCGCCCGCCCGACCGGCGCTCCCGCCTGAGACGTCCGACAATGTATTCGGGACCCCCGCTCCCGCCCAACCCTTCCTTGAGGAATACGCCCTCGCCTAGGACTTCCTCGAACGTTCACACTCTTACCCTCCTGCCTCTTCCTCCCCATCCAACCTCCCTCCTCCCTCCCCTCTTCCTCATATCCACCCTCCTCCTCCCTCTTCCTCTCTCCCCTCACCCTCCTCCCGTAACCCTCCTCCCTCCTCTCTTCGCCCTCCCCTCTCCAGCCTCCTCCTTCCTCCCTCCTCTGTCTCTCTATCTCCAATCGTCCCCACCCCTCCTCGCCCCCTCTCTCCTGGCGTGTTCCCCTTTAGCCTCGTCCCTCCCCCCCCCTTCCTCCCACTCTCCCTCGTTCTCCCCCTTCCTCTTCTTGCAGGGCCCGCGCTAATTCCAATGGTGGGCAAAGAGATGCGTGGCCCATCCTCCGAATAATTCCCCGCCCGTTCACGCCCGCTTGTCTAAGCCCGCCCGCCCCCGCAAAAAGAAATAATCCCCCCATAATGGGGTACGCTCGAAGACGAAGGGGGCGGGTATCGAGGGCGTGGGTATACACGTTGCATGGCACGTGGGCAAATAAGAGCGAACAGTCTTAAAATGATGGTTGATTGTGTTGTTGTTGTTGTTGTTGTTGTTGTGGTTGTGGTTGTTGTTGTTGTTGTTGCTGTTGTGGTTGTGGTTGTGGTTGTGGTTGTTGTTG